TCGTATCAATCGTGGAAGGAAGGTTCAAGTGAAATAGAAACTGATAGGTCAGTTTTTGATTCTAAGCCGATTGCGCTTTGATCTTAACAATAAAAATACTTGCGTCATTATACACGTCGTTTATTACTATACTTGTAAACTTATTGCGTCGATCATAACAATAAAAAAAAGCTTGCGCCGCACAACGCTCCAAACATCAAACTTCGATTATTACTATACTTGTAAACTTGCGCGTTGATCATAACAATAAAAATATTTCGATTGTTACTTCCATTATTGTAGTGCGCTCTACAACAGCCGACTCGATCTCATCTTCCCTTCTACCTCCATGTCGTATTTGAACAGCCCGATTGTCCCCGGGAGTTGGCCTGGGTGGAGAGAGGCACTGTGAAAGTAAAGTGTTTTGCCAAAGAACACAACACAGTCACCCCGCCCAGGGCTCGAACCCGGAACGCTCAGTCCCGAGACCAGCGCGCAAACCATTAGGCCACAGCGTCTCCCACAAATTTCTCCTTCGTAGCCAATATTTCGATCGTGACGCTAAGAACTGGTCCACGTGATGACCCAATTAATGTCTGCGGAGACTATACCAAACTCAGAAACAAGCCTCTATTTCTTCAAGAGCTGATGCTCGGGCAAAGCAATAGCCTCTGAACAGACTCCTCAATCGGATATAGAGGGAAAAAAGTTATCGGCAGGCGGAGCGAGTCGAGCATTGACTCCCCAGGACGTTAGCGAGGTAGCATATTGGGGCGCCGCGCTTCTCGTCCAACTGACACCATTACCTGGTCTGTTCACAGGCTACGAAAGCGACGAAAGGTTAAAAAACGAGGCCGTAGTGATATATACTCGCGGTAAACACTGATCATTTACTTGTTGAGTGTTTATGAAAGCCATGGCCTAAACCGGATTTAAACCGTATTTGATGCACCACTAAACTACTGCTGTATCCCTAGTCCTACTCTTACACTTCATGTCTGGTCCACGTGTATTTTTAGAGTACTAAGAAGAATACTTTGATTCGGCATTCTGTTTGAAGAGTCTCCTTCGATCTAGGTATTTTTCGGATAAAAGGAATAATGATGACTCGTGTGCCTTACATGTCAGGCACGTGTGTCGCACATGCCTGGTTCACTGGCTCGCATATTGGTTCAGCACTCCAAAGACTTGGTGGATACGATTGAGAAAGATTTCACAAAACTTATACGCAGTATAAAGGGAATTTTTATAGGAGCCTATGTTATGTTTTTATTTTTCACTTTCAATTGATATCGATTATTTTTCGATTCATTTTTGACCCTGTTATTTTGATCTTTTAAAGGTCTTCCTGGCTACGTCATGGATGGCGCATGTTGGAAAAGTTAGCTGTTTGTAATTTGTTCGTCTTTTATAATCCGTATTAATCTTCCCCAATTATAGCCTACCTTGTTCCTGTTTGGTTTATTACTTAATTACCTCTTTGGTGTTTTTCCTACCTTTAGTAGACTGTTATTTTTATGGTTACACAGCTCGAACCGACTGCCTTCCTTGGCGAAAACATGATGTCAGTAAACGGCCAAGTTATCGATGGAATGGCTGAGAAATTTTAAGGTTTTTTTTTTATTATTATTACCATTACTGGACACAAGTATTCCAACCGACTGAGGAGAACAAAAAATACAAAATTGTGTTCTTAGCAAACTTAAACCAATCCCTTTGTTAAACCTGAAAATGAAAATGAGCGTTTAACCTTTTTTCTTATATATGTTTGTGCTTCTTATTTCACCAGTGCATGTGACCAGAGTAAAATAAGTACAATTATAACATTTTTTTTAAATCATTTTTTAAAGATCAAAGTAACAGGTTCTAACAGGTCTGAGGAAAACGTATTGCAGAGGCATATTGCAACTTCTCGTTACTTTGGCGAATAGGAAAGTAAAGATTTAGTTAACAAAAATGTATCGCAAAATAATCGATATCAATTGAAAGTAAAAATAACAACACAACATAGGCTCCTGTAAAAATTCCCTCGAATGTTGTATTTGACAAAACTAAGTTACCTCGGGTGAAATACAATTTGGACAGCAATTTGCAAAAACAAAGTGAAATTAAAACGCTTACAGGTAAACTCTAGAAAAACTCATAACATGTGTAGGAGTGTATCTATAACAGCGTCCTTGTCTCTTTGGTATATGTTTATCATACTATTTTATTTTGCACGTTATCTTTACTAGTTAACCATTGACTTGTAATATGTATTTACAATTCAACTTTTAGGAGCCATTATTTTCTTTCATTATAGCCCCGGTCTTTTTGCCGCAGTGCCAGCCTTTTAATCAATTGGTTTCCAGGGTCCTGCTGTTTTCATTTGGCGCGGACATTCTCAGGTACCTATTCCGGTCTTAGTAGGATTAATAGTGTTCTGTAAATTAAGAAGAATCCTACTTACAGATCAATCAGCCGGGTATTGTTGCTGAAAATTCCCTCAGGCAACGACTCCAACTGGTTGTTGTTCAACCGCCTACCATAAAATAATCACAACATAATAATCACCATTAATTGCATGCAAAACTATGACATAAGTTAGTGACTGTGTTTGCTGGAAAGGTCCCTTCGACATATATTATGACTAGACTATTAAAACATTCCTGAAGAGCATTGCCTAATTTATTCAATTTTTAGGGAATTCGTTTGCATTTCTTGCGGGGGGGGGGGGGGGGGGGGGGGGGGGGGGGGGGGGGGGGGGGGGGGGGGGGGGGGGGGGGGGGGGGGGGGGGGGGGGGGGGGGGGGGGGGGGGGGGGGGGGGGGGGGGGGGGGGAGGGTGTACAGCACTAGTATTGCATGAGTCTGACAGCTTCTGTTTCCATCATATATTTACCGTAATGTCTGAATCCCCCCCCCCCCCCCCCCCCCTCACCACTTAGTGTAGCTCGCAGCTCAAATCATTGTTTAATTCACGGTCTCAATATTGAATTGGAGCATGGGGATGATTGAGTGTCTGCTGACGGCAGAGATGGAAATGTGCGAGCTGTAGGATTAAGGCGGAAAGGCGCCGCAGTTACATTCAGAAGACCATTACAGAAGCTGTTCCCCATTGAGCTTAGTGGTAGGAGGCAAGAGATGTCCGCTGTAACTATCACATTAGTGGAGCATGCAGAACACGAGAACTGAACTTTGAGTCAAAACTTTCAATATTTATTTTCGTTTCTACTGCAACCAGAAGTTTTAGTTGTTTATGTTACCAAATGAACTGAACTGAAGCCAGAACTCGTTTCCGTTTCCGTTTTATTTTTATGTTTTGTTATATTTTTAGTTGATCGACATATCCCTTGTCAATCAAGGGTGTGAGTGTGTCCCAAATTTGGAAGTCACGTGATTTTGTTTTTTGAGTCGAGTAGACCTCGTGGGTAGAATTCGAGTATAGATTCAAGTGTATTTTACCAGATAAGAACCATAATATATTCCTTTTATTTAGTAAACAACACAAAACAATGACCCTGGCCAGGGCTCGAGCCCAGCCTGCTAAATTCAGAGTGCAACGCGCTAATCATCATGCCACCACGCCTCCCGAAGCAACCAACGTCATGTATTTCGGCTTTGTAAAACAATCATATTACTTTATAAACTAGTAGTAATTAAGATAATGCGTTCGACAGATTAATCTCAAACAAAGGATGGTTTCTCAAGTGGTCACGAACGAACTTAGACGTTTGCTTTCTGCTGATCTATATGAAACCTGTTGACCTTGGCAATATGATTGGCTTGATATATTCTTTTTATTGAGAATTGTGCCAAGGAAGTATAATTTTGAAACGGTGGAATGAAATTCCTGAATAAATATATACATTTAGGTTGAGTTAACCATTTGTCAATTGCAAGTCCCCCCCCCCCCCCCCCACCCCGAGCCCCCAAGTACCATCATCGCGCTAATAGCTGATCAATTTTTAAAAAAATATGTAAGAGAATCTTAGAAGTATTCCGCTAAATGTACATTATGCGCTTCGATCGTGTTCTGTGGTGCCTAAACTGCAGTTCTTCAAAATTAAATATTTTGAAATTGTAACCATCCGAAGTGCTTACAAAGTTTTTAATATCATCAACCAATTCTCCAACAGAGGGGAGGTACATATAGCTTTAATCTATTGAAATATTTTCAAGTAAATTCTGGGAAATACACAAAATGGTCCGCAAAAAGTTCAGTGTTGTTTTATCCAAAAACCGCTTAACAGATGTTCATCAAATTTCGTCTACCGGTAGTCAAACTACCCTACTTCAAAATATTATAAAATGGATGCAATGTTTCCGACTAGATTTCTGAAAAAAATCAGCCTTATTTAAAACCAATAGATGCCAAAACCGTTGCTATGGTAACCTTGGTTGCTTGGAAATCAGTGGATAATAAAGCTATCATCATAATTACGTCATCATTATGGTGTAGTATGACAAATATCGAAGTTTTGCCTTCTGATCGAATTTTTGTTTTCAAAACTCTCACCCCGTCGCTAAAAAAATACATTGAGCCACTTAAAATTGGCATTTTTCTATGTTAGTTAGAAAAAATAAAAACCTTATTGACCAAACTTGTGTGGTGTGGATTAGAAATATAAGTTATATATAATTAGTTTAATATCAGGATGTCGAACAAGTGCAAGTATGGACAACCGATGAGACCTTCGCAGTCCTTATGTTACAATCTGTTCGTACATAAAATCAATGTTTTACGTCTACCTACAGTACCGGACTAGCATGGCAGACGTTTCTACTCAAACGATGTAATTCGTTTTTGAGGGTTTTTTTTTGGGCCATAAAAGTAAGGTAAAGCCGCACTCGGGCCAAACAGGCTCTCACTGCCAGAGCGTATCCTGGTTTCCTTAGCATTAAGCCGACTTGCTACTCCCCCTGGATGGGATGCTAGTCATCGCAGGTTACCCCCAGCATTTTGTCATCGGTACCCATTTATACTCCTGGGTAGAGAGAGGCACTGTGAGAGTAAATTGTCTTGCCCAAGAACACAACACAATGACCCTGGCTAGGGATCGAACCCGGATCGCTCGATCCGGAATCCAACGCGCTAACCATTAGGCCACCGACGTCTCCCACTTGGCTTATAAAGCAAAACTGAAAATCGTTTGAAATTTTAATATGTACCTCTTTTCGGACGCTTCTTTGAAAACTATTAGGTTCAAGGGTCCATTTGTTCGCTTGCTTAGACTGGAGTTAAAACACTTAGCAGAACGTTTAAACACCATCGCGCAGTTGCATAAAGCAACCTTAGATTAAGTAGGAATTTCTACAATTGTTTCATAAGTTACGGAGGATTTTTTCGCACCGTCCTTGTGTTTCCTATTCTCTTTTTCACCTCCGGCCGATTTATCCATAAATAGCGTTCCAAGAAAATCCTTCGGGAAACGTACAGGGAATGGTTGTAGAAATTCCTATTACTTTACTTTACTTTATACTTTACGGATTACCCTGAATTGCTTGCCGTATTGTTCCCCTTTCTCCTCTGGTCAGTACACAAGGCTAACCACCAACCAATGGTTACGAAAAAACTGAAAATATTGCTAATTCTCTGGACGTCCCCTCGGGGCGGAAAGAGAAGAAACAAACCCCACAACCTCTAACAAACGGGGAGCGAGGCAAGGTATGAAGTACAGCAAACACGGATGAAGTTGACCTCGCCGACTGATCCAGTTTGAAACATGGTACATGGAATGTTTCGTACTTTGTACGAGCAGGGAAGAAACAGTCAAATAGACACTGATCAAGGAGTTGGAGAACATCGGGAGGACTTGGAATGAAACAAAACACCTGGTAAATAACAGAGTCCGATGGAAAGCTATGGTCGCATTTTAAAACACGATTAACTAAAAACGGAGATGATATAACGGATGTGTCAACATATTTTGAAACTGGAATAACTGAATACAGGTGTGCCCAATATATATAATACGTCATCGCTTTTGTGCGTATCACGTGTCTTTTATTTATTTATTTTTCATGCAGACACTAATATATGTTCTTTTTTTGTGATGCCCGCGTGAAGAAAAAGTCAGTAAACGGCTAAGCGATCGATGAAATGGCTGAGAAGGTTTCGTTTCGTTTTTTTATTTTATTATTTTTAGTCATTACTGGACATAAGTATTAAAACCGGACAATATTTTAAGACTGTGGAAAAAGATCCAAAATTGTGTTCTTAGCAAACGTAAACCACGTCCTTTGTGAAACCTGGTTAACACCTGTGACATAAGCATCAGAATAACCACACAGAAACCCAAAAGTGTATCACATTTACTGGCACAAGAAAAAGGAACGTTTAACGCTTTTTTCTTATATATGCTTGCGCTTCGTATTTCACAAGTGCATGTGACCATGAGTAAAATAAGTAAAATAAAAAGAAAGATGATAATTTTTGTAAGATTAAAACAGGTCTGAGGAGAACGTATTGCAGAGGGCATTGTTGCAACTTCTCGTTACTTTGCGAATAGGAAAGTAAATATTTAAATTAACAAAAATGTATCGAAAAATAAATCGATATCAATTGAAAGTGAAAAAAAATAAATAACATAGGCTCCCTATGAAAATTCCCTCAAATTTTATACTAATCACCATTAAAACTATGAGACAAGTTAGGGACTGAATCTGCTGGAAAGGTCCCTTCAACATATATTCTGACTAGATTTGTTAAAACATTCTGAAGAGCATTGCCTAATTGGTTTAATTGATAAGTAATTCCTTCCTTTTCTTCCGGGGGGGAGTGGGGACGGGGGGGGGGGGGGGGGTGGGATATACAGCCTAGTTTGCATGAGTCTGCAAGCTTCTGTTCCCATCATATATTTAGAGTAATGTCTGAATGCCCCTTCCCCCCACCTCTTAGTGCTAGCTCCAGGCTAAATCATTGTTTAATTATCTCTGCCCCCTACTTTTTCTACAAAAAGACAAGGTCTAAAGATTGAATTGAGCATGGGGAGGATTGAGTGTCTGCTGACGGGCAGAGATAGAAATGTGCGCGCTGCAGAAGTGCGAGCTGTAGATTAAGGCGGAAAGGCAGCTCAGAAGACCATTACAGAAGCTGTTCCCAATTGAGCTTAGTGGTAGGAGGCAAGAGATGTCCGCTGTAACTATCTCATTTGTGGAGCATGCAGAACACGAGAACTGCACTTTGAGTCAAAACTTTCAATATTTATTTACGTTTGAACTGTAACCAGAACTTATTTTAGTAGTTCTGTTACCAAGTGAACTGAACAGAAGCCAAAATTCGTTTTCGTTTTGTCATATTATTAGTTGATCGACACATCCATTGTTAATCAAGGGGTGAGTGTGTCCAAAATTTGGAAAAACACGCGATTTTGTTTTTTGAGTCGAGTAGATCTTGTGGTCGATTCTTGTTCATTCGAGTGTAGAATTCAAGTGTAGTAGATTCAAGTGTATTTAACCAGAGAATAACCAAAATAGAATCCTTGATTTAGTAATTTGACAAGAGCTCGAGCCCAGTCCGTTCGATCCAGAGTGCAACGCGCTATCCATTAAGCCACCACGCCTCCCGAAGCAAACGACGTCATGTATTTTGGCTTTGTGAACAATCATCAACCTCGATCCCATGCTCTCTTTCCTTTTCCTCCCTTGTCGTTGAGGAGAGAGACCGTGGTTGCGGCTGTCGCGTGACTATGCGGTTACAACAATACCGCAGGAAGGGTTGGGGCCGTTTTGTCAAGGTGAACAATAATCACTATAGCCAGGGGATCGAAGTGGCAAATCGAGCTTGGTTCAAAATTTAAAAGTGAAACAGGCTATTTGTATGGAACGTTTATTTTTATTATGTACAACTTCATGACATGAACACTGTAAAGTATACGTGACGGATATTTTCGAGCCACAAAAGCAGCGGCGCGAAAATTTAATACGAGAATTGAAAATTCACCTTGCCGGCTCATTTAATAAATAACGATGAACCATTGACTTCATTCACTTTTACACTAAGTAGACAACACTTGAAAATCAACTGAACAACCTTGCAATTGAACGGCACGAATGTTAAACGGACTGAAAGAAGGAATTTTTTTTCCATTGGCAGCTTTTGCAGTGAATACAATTTAACGATCACTTAAACTCATTACCTTAAAGCTGTTCACAGTACTAAGCTTACATGAAAGCTTAATTCTTGAAATGATCGGCTTTAATTTCTTCCGTGGACAAAATTCCGTTTTAAAACGTCCGATCGATCGTCGTAGTTGTTCAGTTCTGAGAATTACGCAAGCGGTTTCCGAGAAAACTGAGATTATCGCAGTGATCTTCGCCAACGGCCTGACAAAGGCCTTTAGAAGCTTGAATAACCACATGTAAGCATATGTACCAACTTTTATTTTTTGTTGGTGCTTGCTTTTCTTGAGAGTTATTTGAAGAGCGAGTTGCGACTCACAGTCAACGCTCTCACCCTCTCATGGTAGATTTGTCACAGCAACAACTCAAACACTCTACCACCCCTCCCTCTGAATATATTATTTTACCACCCAGAATTTGGGTGGTCACGTGACCAGCCGCAACCAGGGTCTCTCTCCTCAACGACAAGGGAGGAAAAGGAGAGAGAGCCTGGGATCGAGGTTGAACAATAATATTACTGTACTTTAGAAATTAACTTATCACATTTAACGATATTGGAAGATACGAAAAGCGATCAATATGAGTATTTGTGCTGTACTTACATGTAGTAAACTAAATATTACATTGCAATCTCTATCATTTGACCATAAACTCCATCCAAACCAAACTCTGTCTCCATCCCAATACTAAACTTAACTTAACTTAACTTTATTCCCATTGTTCAAACTACTATATTTCAATACTCGCATATTGCCGAAAGGTAGTCAAGGCAGATAGTGTTAGCATCAATATGTTAAATTTAGCTCATTAGTATACAGTTAAACTCCGATAAGCGGTCACCTTTTAAGCGGCCACCCCGGTTAAGCGGCCAGTTATCAAAGTCCCAAAATTATTGTCAGTAAAATACTGTAAATAAAACCCTTATTAAGCGGCCAACCCTATTAAACGGCAGCGGCCACCTTTTGGCCGTCCCGATGAGGGCTTTCCTATTGTTTTTACCCCGATTAAGCGGCCACTAAGAATCTAATACACGTAGTTTGGCCTTGTTTTGAAAAAACAAGAGTCTGAAATAGAAGGTGACGAATGATTAAAACATTCAAACAATAGTTGTCACAAGCCCCCAAGCGTGTTGTATTCAGATAAAGTGACGTTTATACCACGCCTTATGCTAATTTCTGACGAAACCCCGTTTAAGGCGGGGGTACACGTGAATTTCGATGAAATTTTAAGAGGTTTAAAGAAGGGATAGAAGGAAAACATTTTTTTTTGGAACACCAACAGACAGTTGATACCACGCGGGTGCTATTGCGTGGGTATCAACTGTTTGTTGTTGTCCATGTACTGATTTTTAACTCCAAATTCTAATTTTAAAAACTACATTAAATATTAAATATTTCTTATTTCCCTAAATTTTACAACTCCTTTGAGAAAAACTATTTCCTCCCAAAAATATACCCCAAAATCACCCAAAAATTTACAAAATACCCCATAACATAGATTCATGTTTTGAGCAGAGAGTTTTTGGATTGCATGAAACGTGAACGAGATATTTCCATTAAACCCATGTTAAGTGGCTGAAAAATGGCATTTAGGTTAACTCCCGCCTTAAGCGGCCAACCCCGATTAAGCGGCCTTTCCCGAGGGTGACCGCTTAATCGGGGTTCGACTGTATATAAAAGAAAGAAAAACTAAACGAGGGAATCTGAAATTCGAAATTGCAAACATGCCAATAAGAAACCGTATATTATTAATTATATTAAAATGGATTTCAACAAAAACTGCAAATGCAACGCAGACGGATTTTTCCCTTGTTGTTTCCCTTCTCTGTGGCCTTTTTTTGTCCTAAATTATAACCTTTGCATGGGCCTAGTCTGCGTGCAGACGTCTCCTATTTCCTTGCTTCACGCGAAAATTCCGCGTGAAGGCGAAGCAAGGAAATACGAGACGTCTGCACGCAGGCTAGATGACAGGGCACCCAATTGTTTCTATGTTTG